CACCAATCCAGCAGGGACATCAGCGGAACCCCATCAGCTGAGCTGGTCACCAGATAACGATCATAGTTATGTGGCCATATGTACTGGCATTAAGGCATGAGCGATGTGCATAGATGCATGTATGAGATAGCACTCATCTGCGCAGTTACTGAACGAGCTTTTAAGGATGAATACGGCTGCATGCGCAAACAGTACATCAACACTCGTAAACTTGAAAGAATAAGTCTTTCAAGTGCGCCACCCAGGTGTCCTAGGCAAGTATGAGCCTTACGGAATGAAAATAAAGGCTCTATTCATTCCCATCGGTGGATGCAGGGACCAGATGGCAACATGTTCCTCCCTCCAAAAACAAGAGTTGTCCGGCCATGCTGGTGCACTATGGAACTTGTAACTCCAGTATACATTGTATTTCGTGTATACATTATACATTATATTTCGCGTATTATTATTTGACAACAGACTCGATGGCATCGAATCTATCCAAATGTCTTATTGATAGATGGGCATTTTTTGGCTCTTTAAGCGTGTTGGAGACTAGCCGAGACCAGACTGGCAAATTTGAGACGAGATTAACGAAGAGAGACTGGAACGTTGAGTGTTGGCAAACAGAATTTGCCTTCGCAAACGTATATGACCATCAGTGACAGCAAATCCATTAGCTTTTGGAAAGAAAGAGAGGAGGGGGGATTGACACCGAAGACAATGAGACATTTTGTTATCAAATTATATTCTGCGTGAACACAGATACCACTGTTTGTTTTGGTGCTTTACATTGCTTTGAGCCAGTTTGATTGAATAAATACATCTTAGAATCCCTGGTTCATTGCTTTTGTTTGTTTATTTGTTTATTTTCTTTTATCGTCAACAGAGTAGCACTCCACTAACAGGCGAAGTCGCTCAAATAACATACAACAAAAACACGGTACACAGTAGTATAAACATAAATAAACGATGACATGCTAAAGCCAAGTGAAGATGCTACAGAGCTAAAACATACTTGATCACTTTAACTCCAAAAATGCCAAGACTGTCATGAAAAATATCCGCGCCAGTGTTTCTTGCTAGGCAAGAGTTCCTCACGCTTGACAGGATGCAAAACAGACCGCTCCGCACCGTTATCACGCGAGCGCGAGGAACAGCGAGCAAAGTTCGGGTGCGAGTGGACCGAGGCGACACAAGCAGGGGAAAACAGCCGAGCAAGATGCAACAGTCCAGTTCACCCTAAAAAAGAGCAAATCGTGCTGCACTCTTTGTGTTGCTAGGGATGGGGTTTTGAAATGAACCAGGAGGCTGTCATAAGAAATATAAGCTGTTTCCCCGGAGAGTGTGTAAGTAACCAAATAAAAAACTTGTGTCACACTCGACCGACCCGCACCGTGTGGAAATTGGCTGCCCTTGCCCAGATCACGCTGCAATATTCCAAAACCGATCACACATTTACAAAATACGCAGCTACCACAGCGCTTCGTTTGAGTTGTGACCAGCTGGTACCGACTTGGAAGGGCCGCATAAGGAGACTAAGTGCTCGATGTCTGATGTCTTTTGGCATGCCTCTGACTATGTCAGAGACATGTGCAGCGAAGGTTAGTTTGGTATCCAGCGTTGCGCCAAAGTCCCTGACTTTACACACATGTTCGAACTCAGTTCTATTGATATGATATTCGGTTAGGACGGGAGCACGCCTGGAGGTCAGCGTGAACGTTATAGAATTTATAGGCTTGAGGTTCATCTCTCACCTGACGTGATAAAGGAAGGGAGCCAATAGGGATCCTTCCGGGACGCTGGAGCTCACCAGTTTCAATCGAAAGTTGTTTTTCGTTGACGGTAACCGTCTGACGTATGTCGGACAGATACGAGATCAATCATTGTGCTGCAAATTCTCTGAAGGGGTATAACTGCTGTAGCCTGTGGATCAGGAACTCATGGCTAACGCTCTGAAACGCAGCCGGACAATCAAGGTAAATGGCATCCACCTGGTATCCGTTCGAATGCCAGTTCACGATTTGGCTTTGCGTTTGGTTTAAATTATGAGCTATTGGGGAGGAGTTCATATTTAAAAGCTATAAAAGTAATAAAAACTATTGTAAGGCGCAATGGTGATTGAACGGCCCACGCTTGACATCGTCATGGCGCGCCGAAAGTGTCGAAGTAAGGCAGTGGGTTCCGATGCGTCATGGCGCTTATGACGTCACATCCCACCAGCCACAGCAGGCAGCGGCGGCTGACGGCGTGGCTGTTGACCACTACTGCGCAATTTCTCATAACGCGAGATTTTGTTTTTATTTACATCCTGTATGGGACAATGTGACATCCAAATTGCGTTTAAACTAGTGAACTGAAGCACACTGACATTAATAAGGTTGATGAGCTATTATGCTGAAAAAGACCTTCGGCACACCAGGACGTACTGGTTGAATGACGGCAGCAAGGACTCTTTAGGATATATTCTGAGAACATTCGACGGTGACATTGGTGGTTATGGTTGCGAATGAATCGGGTTAATAAAAAATGCGTAAAAAAGTGTCTGAAATAACAAAAATAACAAAAAGTGTTCATATTCTGTGCGGAACCGTCTCTGGATTCAAAGTTCCAGAACACGTCTGTTGGATCCTAAGATGAGCTTACACAGCGTGTGAGCATTTTCTGTCCTTCACGCGCTCACGTTTTTAATGTAGTTTTTTAATCAGTCTTCTTCGCTCGTTATCACGAACCCTGTCTGCAGACACCGAATATTGATATGTAAAAGCAGTTTTAGGTGGTGCTGTTTTACCAAGGAGTGCGTTTTTGTTTAAGTCGATGTTCGACTCGGCATTCGAGTGTTGATGTTACACTTCAACTATAAACTGTAACTTCCCCTTTATTTACAGTTACACTTAAGGTTTAAAGGGATAATAGGCAACGATCGTTTTTGATGTCATTTAACCAATAACTCCTGGTATGCCGGAGATGGGTTATTTTTACTCAAGAACTCATGATACTGTAACATCAAGAGCTCAAGGCTTTTCTCGCTGATTCTATAGCGTTGAATCTAAAAGGACTAGACACGGATCAAATTTTTACGATTGTGCTTGCAAATCTCTCTTTGCTACGTCATTACGGGGTCCAGTATAAGAGATCAAACCTAGCTTAACGCTCGATTTGCTTCACTGTCGGCGAAAGTCCGAACGGTATGTTCAACTTGGAGCCTTTTATCTACGCTTTTAAAGTCGGTTGTGGTGACCAGGCGCTAGGCTTGCAATACACATGGTATAAACATCACACCAATGGGCATCAAGAAGTTCGTGATGCGCTTTGGTGAAAACATTTCGAAAATAAAAACTTCAACGTCAATCAACAGTTATGCTCCATTCCTTCACCGTGTCGTGGCACCACTGCCGCCGGTACTTCGCCAGTAAGTCTAACGATCCATACATGACGCCACAGACCACGCCAACGTGTTGTTATGGTAACGATGTTAAACAAACACTAACCACCTACAAAGGCTCATATTTCGAACAGTTACGTCCTTTCCTCGCCGTATTTGACACTTAGCTATGTTGTTGCATTGCCTCACGTCTGCACTCTGAGCCTTCAGCTAACCTACATGTTCTCAGGTACACGATATTCTAGGCTATTGGCTTATGATAAGGCCAAAAGCTAAAGAAAATCCCAAATGTAACAAAACAAATGAAATGTTCACTTTTTGCACCAGTATGTGTTTTTTTTCTTGTGTGCTCTTAGAGTTTTGCTTTATTAACAAATTCCTAGCTAAATAATGAAAGCACGATTCAAATGCAGGTTTAGGTATGCACACTGTTTTTATTTGTGTTAAAATTTGGGGATCTGAAGCTAAATACTTGAGGAAATATTAGTTGAACAGTAATAGTTACATAACATTACATATGCATTTATATTTGTTCATATGTACACATTGATATATATATATATAGATATATATATATATATATATATGTATATATATATATGTATATATATAGGTAGATAGGTATATATATATACATATATATATATATATATATATATATATATATATATATATCTGTATATCTGTACATATATGATGTACGGTTATATTTGCACTTGACCTGTCTATCTGTCGTCGGCTTTTATCGCCTGTTTTCTTGTTGCCTTCGATCCGAGCGGTTTTTAGCTGTGCGCCCCCGCGCCTCGACGTCTTGACTGGTAGCGACATCATGCCGCCCTCGACCAACTTGCCTTTTTCTTGTGTCAGCCTAATGTAAATATTTGTTGTGAAACACTTGTACTCCTCGATATTGGTCGCTCTTCCCATTGAACTGAATTGAGGTCATTCCTTTTCGGAGATCTTATTGCGTCGCTCCGATCAAAAACATTTTTTCTGCTAGCTGGTTTCAGCGTTATACTCGATGCAGATGGGGTGGACTATTCCCTTTAACACCAGCGGAAATCGATAAACTGCCAAAGTCAGCAATACCCCAACCCATAATATTCCGTTCACGGTGACTATGGTGTTGACCGAAGATCAGGTAAGGCTAGGATAGCTGAAATTGAGTTTCTTAATTGCTGCTATGCTTCACATTTGGCATTTCTGTTGGTTTGTGGTCATCAGTCTTTTACGGGCGATCTGGGTCTCGTATGCCTAGTAGAACATTTCGAAGCTAATTATATCGCATCAGCTGCGGGCACACCGACACACTGCCGCACGCTAATGTCGCGTCACGGCGCCGTCAGCCGCCGCCCCCTCCCAGCCTCCATTGAACGGTGACGTCAGGACGCCACTCAAACACTATTGTTCGGCGTTCTGGGCGGCCGGAGAAGGCGAGGGTCGCCACGCCAGGCGACCTCTGGCGGGGCCGCCTGTCATCAGGCCCGGCGGCGGCAGCGGCCTCCCACCGCAGCGCCCGCATTTAGCGTCAGCGAGACGCGTCGCAAAGCAGGCCTGGCCAATTACAATAGCTAATGCCAGCGTCGGGCTCGCCTCGGCAATTTGGCGGCCTTCATCGGGTACGGAAACAGCCTCAGACTCATCGGGCGTGTGTATTCGAGAAAATGACGTTCAACATGAGAGGGCGGCGGCAGGCCGCTGGGGATGACGGTGGGACGCCCGACAGCCGACGGGGACCCGGCATGGCGGACGGTCAGTGGGAGGCGACGGTCGATGGTGGGAGGCGGCACCTAGGCCTGGGGCGCGACGGGGATGGCGTCACCGACCGGCTGGAAGCCGTTCTCGTCGGCCACCCACGAGATCTGCACGGTCTGGCCCTCGGGGGTGACGAAGCTGTAGCTGCCCTGCATGGTGGTGCCGAACTCCTCGCCAATCTGCTTCAGCTGGCCCTGGACCTCGGTCTGTAGGGCGCGAGTGGGTGTCACGGCGACGGGTGACGGACAAACCAGCGATGACTCATATTTACGGCTTAACTGTTAGCTATAGCGGTGCCAATGGGGCGACGATCGCATACGCTCACAGATCGCTAGACGTTGAAGTGTCTGCACACAAAACCTATCAGCGGCCAGTTGCAAGCACATGAACAAGTATCGTCAGTAAGAATATTTGCAGCAGACCGTTTTCGTGACACTGCGAACGCGGCAGAATGACCCCGCGGCCAAGCAGCTGCTGCAATGCGGTCTCACACCTACCTGGATTTTGTTGGCCGTCTCAAAGGAGTACTGGAACGAGCCGTCCTCGTCGCTGGTGCTGTCCATGCGGACGATGGCGATCGGCTCCTTCTCGAGGCCCTCCAGCTTCGCGGCGGCGGCCACGGCCACCAGGGCGCAGACAATCAGCTGCGGACAGACAGAGGTCAGCCTTCAAGTCAGGCGGCACGACAGAGGTCAGCTATCAGGTCAGGCGGCACAACAGAGGGAGGCCGTGCGGCGGTGGGTGGGCCCGAGCCGGCCCAGCGCCGAGGCCTCCGAGGGGCAGGCCGGCTCGCTGGCGGCGCGCCTCGGACGACCGGTTGGCGGTCACCGGCTCGCTGGGGGGCATCCGATTATGACCAGCGGAGTGGGCCGGCTCTGAGCAACGGCGACAGGCCGGGAGCTAGCGGCAGAAGCCATGATCTGGGCATTTGTCAGGCCAGCCTCGCCATGAGCACTGGCAAGCATGGTTGGAAGCGTTGCGACACAAAAGCTGATTGTCGTGAGGCAGCGTGGGCCCCCGTCATCTGCAGCGGTTACTGCACTGTCGGCCCAGCACCCGTAGGCGAAAACAGCGCGTAAAATGAGCCGGGGTTTCGTCAGTGGCAGTGCCTTTCCTGTAAACATCCCACTTAGGGCCCTAACCCGGCATTGGGCGCGGGACGGCGAACAGGCGGCGCGTTCGCCCAGCCTGCGTAGCCTGTTTGTGGCCGGTTTCTACCGTGACGTAGATGGTAAATAACCGATGGCGCGTAGGAATTAGCCGTCCTCGCCGAGAGTAATTGCATGCTTAATGTCTGCCAGCCCAAGGTTTTCAAGTGATCAAGATAGATGTGCCAAAACAACTGTTTGAAGCAAATCGAGCAGCTGTACCATTTGTTGCCACATTCACCAAAAAATTGGACGACTTTTGCACCATCCGAAGTGAAGCAGCATCGGTTTGAAGGCATTTAAAAAGTGAAAGGACAGCCATGAGCATTGGTTGCAAAGCGACGTGTCATTTTAGGTGTGTGATACCCTTTTTTACTTGCTTCATTTGGGAACGGGCAGCGTAATTGAAACCAAAAAATCCGAAATTATGCAGCTCATGTTGCAGAAAAATTAACATGCTGTGAATGAATTTTGCAATGTTAATATTCTGGCGTACTGACGCTACGGTACTAACCAGTACGAACACCCTCTTCAACTATTAGTTGCCTTCTTCACGACAGCTGTTTTCAAAAGGTACTGATTGCAAAATCCAACGGTATTTGACTGGAAATAAAAGAAGATCCGCCTAAAATATATCCGAGCCAAAGTTTTGCGAAGTAAACCATCAAAATAAGCGAACATGTTACTCCATGAGCATTTTGTTCCAACACACAATAGCTGTTATCAAAAGGGCTTTTTGTTTGCAACGCAGCACCAACATATACGCTAAACTATGGAACGTTTTTAATACATGGCGAGGGTGAGGACTACGCCACTGTAAATATCTGCCGAAGTCTTGCATTTCGTTCAATTGTAAAGCATACTAAATGTTTCAAAAACTGGTATGGACACATTTCTAAATTACCTTCTTCAAAATGTGTTTTTCCGGTTTATGAAGCAGCAAACGAAATTTCAGACCCGTGTTGTTACAATAGGCTAATGGCGATAATGATACCCACATAATTTGCACATCGTTTTATGGGTCTGGTTTCGATAACCATCAGTAGAATCCACGGTCAAGCTCATGCAGACTGGGGAGAACAGGTAGATAGCAGTTTTAAATGTTGTGGCCAATTAGGTACTATATATGCACCCCGGGATGAAAGCGAACTACAGTATTACCATGTCCCCGACAATGAAGAGGGAACAACAGAACCTGCGAGCATCTCCGGATTTTCAATGGTGATAGCGCATACAGCAAACCGCTATCGAAATGAAGAGCACGTGGTGGGACAGAAAAAGGCAGCCTTCGCAGAAGATGCTGCCAAGGACCTGCACGACGGTTCTGGCCCCGCACTGCTGGAGCAGCCCCTGGCGGCACTTAGACCCGCATGCCGACCACGACAGCCGTCGCTCTCTACTCACCAGCTTCATCGTGTGGATGGCACGTTCTCAGAGGTGCAGGGAACTGTGCCTTCCCCGGCGACGCGCGCCTTTATATACGACGCGGGCGGACTGGCAAGGACGCATCTCTGGCCGGCGGCGATGGCGTCGGCACCGGCCCTGTTCCAGGGTAATGACGCCAACCGCCGTCGCCGACCGGGCAAGGTCAGGACAGCCCCCGCTTCCCGACAGCCGCTCGCTCCAGCGAACCCTCCGCCAGACACCCCTCCGTCGTGCGCCCCGCGCTGCCGCATACCAACGCCGCCCCGTCTGACAAAGGCGCGCGCCTGGGGGCAGGGGCTCCAACCCACAGCTCTGCAACACCACTGGCATGTGGATGTCGCTCGCTCAGACGGTGCTACCAGACGGTTTTGAACGTGAAGATTTTGCAGAAGTGATTTACAAGAACAGTGCAATTGGTTGGTTGCATGACATGATGGCTACCTGAAACGTTTTCCATACTATGCCTTCATGTCTCTTAGCTTAACACATGGCTTCAGCATGGTTGGGCAAGACATGATTCCCATATAGGCTGAGTGGCCTTAAATAAAAAAAATTAAAAAATCAGACCGTTGTATAATTTAAGAGGGGCTAGTTGAAACAAACACTTTCGAATGAAATGTGTGGAATGCTGAACATCACCTACTCACACATATGCGATCTCCTGCTCTTCAGTAGTTCCCTTTCTACGTCGTAATATTTTCGCAGCCTTGAATGGAACGTGACTCCGATAGGAAACTAGCGCAAATTGTCACAGTCGTGTTATGGCGATGCTATAGACTTTTCCTCGCGGTTTAAAGACGTCTTTAGCGGAACAGACACATGCCAAAAAGCCACGACCATTTCCGTTGTTCTTCACCTGTTGGGTCTACGTCACTTCTTTTCGTACAAGTGTTCGTTTAAGCGAGTAGGTGTGATGCACCTGGCTACAAATCTTACCCAAAAGTGTGTGTGTGTGTTTTTTTTTTTGCTTCTTTTTGACAGGCTCAAATCATGTAGCACCTTTGAAGCAGAGCAGCAATAAGCATATAGGGCTTTGCTGCTATGTCCATAAAATCATTCCACAAAAATGAAGTGAAACAGTTCCGGAGGAACTAGCTACAAGTCCAAAACAATTCGGAAGATCCTAATCGTTGCACCTTGTGAAACTTGATGCCCGTTACATGATCAAGTGTTATTTGGAACTTACGTGGAGTCTAATCATTTCAATGTTAGGAATGAGCATCAGTCATAAATGAAAAGTCATATGCCAATCACAAACTGAAAAACGACATTGTTTTTCCTCGATTTTGTTCTTTAAAATGGAATACAAGATATGTGCGCAGGAACTTACGGCCTGAAGGCAGTGGCCTTAACGAACGCAATAAGCGCCTGGAGCTGGATATTTTATTTCAGAAGGCCGCATTACAGCTGCTAAATCGTTGCTATCATCTAGGAATGCTTGTTTGCTTAAGTCACTCCCATCGTCCTTGCTAGATTTCCTCAAAGATTTTGGTTCGGTCTTGCTTCAATTCATGAGGGGCGGCAAACGTGACTAGGTAAAGTTGACAGCAAGGAGCAAACTAAAGGCTCAAGGTGGCGCTGCCATGACAGATGTAGAATCTCATATTACCGCCTTGAAACTTTCCTGGATAAGGCGACAGACGCACACGAGGCAAAATCTGCCATCCAAAGGCAAAAAGGCTTAAGCACTATGTTAATTGATGGCTGTTAGGCCTTCTTGCCCTTGGACAACATAGATGGGCAAAACTGTTCACACAGAAATGAAACAATAAATTTAGCATATGTGAACTTAATTCGCGCTCTCAGAATGACTGCTGAGTCACCGTCACCTCTTTTCTAGGTTATTATGGCGCTATTTAACAGGGGACATAATATCAAAGAAGGTGATTTAGGGTCTTGCTATCTTTGGTTTTCTGATCAAAGTAAATTTGCGTGCAATGGGCTGCGGAGGTGGCACAATAAGGCAGTCCGATACTTGAATATTTTGATTAGAGAGATTGGCTCACTTATGACATTTGATGACCTTTGCACGTTTGGAATTCAAGCAACGTGTGTGGATTACTTTGGGGTTATCGGTAGTCTTTCCGCTTGCTGGAAAGGGCAGAAGCAAAAATATTACAGCCAGTATTGCACCCAATTATAAAACACATTCTGGCATAAGAGACAAGAGTGAAGAATATATATATACATATGTATATATATATATATATATATATATATATATATATATATATGTATATGAATTGCGATAAGGTCAAAACTAAAAAAGATGCAAAGTATATCAGAGCCCAAATGGGAGAGCATCTTCCCCGACCTTTGCTGGGAGAAAGTGTACTTCAATATGATTAATGCAGTAAAGCATAGCGTATATATATATATATATATGTGTGTGTGTGGTGTGTGTGTGTGTGTGTGTGTGTGTGTCTGCATATATGTATATTATATGTATACATATATATATAATATATATATATAATAATATATATATATAACGTGAAATGGAAAAACGTCATCAAGCAACTATGATCTCTCTCTCTCTCTCTCTCTCTCTCTCTCTCTCTCTCTATCTCTCTCTCTCTCTCTCTCTCTCTCTCTCTCTCTCTCTCTCTCTCTCTCGCGAGATATATAGATCGATCTATATGTATCGCTCTCTCTATATCTATCTCTCTCTCTCTCTCTCTCGATCTCTTCTCTCTCTCTCCCTCTCTCTCTCTCTCTCTCTCTCTCTCTCTTCTCTCTCTCTCTCACTCTCTCTCAGTCTCCACACATGGGAAAATCCTCGTCATTTTTTGGCGGCTGTGCCGGGTAACGTCGCAGTCAGGACAGGCACACCAGCAAATGGATCTTGCAGTATCAATGTCCAGTATGGTAGGATGCACTAGGGAGCTGTGGCCCTTTTGACATCGAGCTGTTGCCCGTGCCAAACAATCGTGTTAGTCAGTGAAGTGGGATTCGGTGCATAACCGTAGGTAGAACTTTGTGCCCGCATCAGTCACCGTCTAGCTACAGCCATCAGCCACGTCTAGCTACAGTCAACAGCCACCAGTTCTAGAACTACAGTCATCAGTGTATTTGGCAGTTGCACTGGATGGACCATTGATCTCGCATGGATGAGAACTGGTGTTTCACCTTACCTTTTCTTACCTTTTTGCTTGAAACTGGGACGTGACGTGGTGAGCAACTGCTTTCTTTTTTGCTCTCGGATATTAGCGTAACTTATTGTTTTTAATCGGGCTGTTTACCGGTCTGGGTAACATCGGCGGCGGCGGCGTGCAACATCGGCCATTCAGCGTGGCTGTGAACGGCCACCTGGTTCTCCGCGGGCACCGGTGGTGGCTCCGGCCTGTCAGGACTGCCGCCTTAGCAAATTTGGCTGACACCAGGCGATCCTTGATGGGGGGGGGGGGGGGGGGGACTCGGCGACATGTGTGAAATCTTCATATCGCGAGTCTGGAACTCCGTTCGGGCCGCTCCCGTTTAGTTTCAGCGGAGATGGATAGGGGCCTCTCCACGGCAGCCTCAAACCACGGGGGTCCGTTCCGGGCCAGCGACGCGGCCGGCCAAGGTCAGCCACGCCGCGTCCGATCCCGACATCATACACGGGCGTGTGTGGCGGCCCCTGGTAACACCCTCCATGTCTAACACGGCGTTGTTGCAGTCAATGTCGGTCATGTTAGCTCAAATTGCTCGAAATTCTGTTGAGAAATCATTATCATTAAACTGTATGTGTGCAGACAAATCTAGTGAAAACGGCTCTTAAAGCAGTACACGTGCTCAAAGGCGCCGCTCAATCTACTATGCAGTCCTGAGAACTGACCAGGACAGCGCAACGCGCATCTATAGGAATAAGTCGGCCAACGTTCTCAGGGAAGCCGACTCGACGCATTGTGGAGGGATTTGTCATTAAGGTGGGGCGGCGGTGCAGCCCAGAATCAGCTGAAAATAGACTGGATTCTTTGGCCAATGCAAGAGTAGCCTCGAGCTCCTGGCCTACGCAGGATTGAGAGACTTATCATCAAGTTTTGAGCGGTTTCGGTTGCGTAATTTTGTGCAACACATTTTGGTCATTTCTAACCTGGTGATTGGTGTCTTTGCCATCCATTATGTTGCGTTTGCATCCTTCGGAGCCATTGATATCATGGGTGGAAGTAGACAATCATAGAACTAAGAGCTATCATTGATGGGGGTCCCAACTGCGCTTCTCATTAGTCGTTATCAATAAGGGTTTATACCAGGCAGAGCGCTTCGGCCTGAGTTGATCACGATTTGACTGTCGCAATTGACGGCTATGTGTCATGCCCCAGGCTAGAGCGGACATGTACGTCCTTGATATTTTACAATAATGTGGTACATTCCGGTACGATTCTGGTACAGGTGTCATGTCGCGAGCCTATTTTGAAAGGCGGCAAGCACAGTAAGGACTTTGCGCCGTTTATGAATGTGTGTTCTTTGTGCAAGGAAGGCGTCACCTTTTCAATTTACACCTAATAATGAAGTGCAAGTCTTCAGTTCTCTGGAGCAGATGAATGCTAGGTTAGGTATGGCGGGGTATTTACCAACAGTGCTGTTCCAAAGGGGTAAGATAAGATTGTCCAGCATGTTTCACTTCAAGCCACAATTCCTACTACTTCACGAATGACATTTCTCCATATGCCTTCCAAGCTTTCGCATATATCGTCGCACAAAGAATGCGTGCATTGAAAATGTTGCTGCACAATTTTCGCCTGACAAATGCCGAGCCCGAAATTCGGCTAACAACAGCAATCCGTCTAACACATGGCTCGATGTCTTGTGGGTATTTCCGTGCGGCAGGAAGCCCACTCTATGGCGTTAAGAGCGCGTTTTACGCTAGTGCGATAGTGATATGCAGCAGAGATGTTGGCCCATCTATTTGCTTATTAACACGAATAAGGCACCGAACTGCTGTTTCCTGCTAAAATTATCACTGTTTTTGTACAACAAGCCTACTTGTGCCACAAGCAGCAGTTGACCCTTTTGCTGCTAGCAGACAAATGGCCGCCGCTGTTGCGTTACGTACCGCGTAGCGTGGCTGGCCACAGGATATATCTAGAA